TTTGTAGGGACCTACGAGATCTTCGAGCCGGCGCTCTGGCGGGTAAGTCGGACCGCGCCGGAGTACGTCGTCCTCGTGAGCGATGTCGAGGAGCACACAGTGCTACAGGCTGCGATGGAGGAGGCGGCCCGACAGCAGCAGCGAACCGCCGCCGCTGCTGCCGCCGCCGCCGCCCCCCACCCACTATGACCACCACGGGGAGCGAACTGGGAGCCGCCAACAGGTCATAAAAGACTAGAAGACAACAATCTGATCAAAGGGGATACGAATCGGGAAAAAAAAATCAAAAATATAGGCGGGTATATAAAAATGGACTTCAATGGGGGTGTTTGGTTTAGTATAACAGATAAAGACTTTATTCAGACACATACAGTATGTAGCGAGAAAAAGAGTAAGAGTAGGACACCTGTGCTAGTCATAAGTCAGTCCATTTATTTCTGCCTTTTTTTTGTTTATTCATTCAGATCCGATGTGGAAAGAAAGACATTTTCGCTTTGTGAGTTGGGGCTCACTTCAGATGCGAGATGAAGTAATTTCGTGTAGTAGATTTTAATACTTGTAGTGCGCCTGATTTAATGATTTTCTTTCTCCTCATGATATATATATATATATATCATTGTACCTTGATTTTCATTAAAGTATACCTCAAAACACCACAACTAAAGGGTGTAGATATTGCCACTCATTTTGTGTTCTTAAGTGGTTCTAAATGATGTAAGAGGTTTAGTAGGTAGATTGAGTATTTACTGATCACATTTATAGAATGTGGCATTTCAATTGTATGATTTACTTTAGTTTTGAAATAAATTAACGAAAATGAAGAGGATCAATGACAAAAGGATAGGTGAAGGCGTGTGGAGGAAGGATTAGGAAAATCACAATTCTGACTCCACTCAAAGAAATAACATAATGCCACTGAAATAAATGACGAAGAAAACAGTGATATGTCCTAACAATTTAGATAAATAGTCTCTGTTATATATCATTAATTTCCATGATGTATATTCAGTTGGTATGATCAATATTATTAAGCTACTTTAAAAGTCTAGAGTAATATATTTTCCATTTTCAGTATTATCTACCTAAAAACAAATTCCTTTGTAAGCTTATAGACTATGCTTGAAGGTTGATATCGTTCTTTATATAGAAGCTTGTCCAAAGTAGGGTGCAAAATACGAAATTCAAACCCATATAAAAGAACACTATTACATAAACATGGTGGTATCCTTTCCTGACACTATCAAACCCAGAGGGAACTCAAAGTGACCGTTAGCGCGTGTATTCGCGCTGAACTCTCATCCTTGCTATCTCATAGTAGATCTTTATTGCATGATATATTGGTGAAGGCAACTTCCTCGAACTTAACGCTTGGAGCTATTTACAAAATAAGTTTTATTAAGTGCATCGCGTGCGCGTATCATGAAGCTGTTTCCACGCCTTGACACAGACCTCGATGGCTGTTTTGGTCTGCGGTTTAGGTAGCAATTGGACACATTTCAGGTCCTACAGGTCACTTTGATTATGCGATTAAATTAATCATTCGAACGGTGTGCTGTTTTTCACAAAAAAGGACACATATGGGCTCTTGGATGTATTGAAATCATGATTATAGGCTAAACTGCAAAAGTAAAACGAGTGTGCAGCGCGTGATCTAGCACATCATGGTTGTGTCACTTTATAAAGAGAGGATCTTCTAAATATATTTATACATATTTCTTTCTCTATATAGATAAATACATAGAGAAGCTGCTGTATGAGTATGCAAATGCAAACTAAGTGTGTATATAAATTTATTGATGAAATTAAACCTGAACATGAATTATATATAGAGCTTAACATCAAAAACTGCTGCATTTTTTATAGAATGTAAATTATGTGAAATGAGGTTTAACGAATAAATATTTTAAGCAATCAAAAAAATCAATATGTTATATAGAACTCTACAAGAATAATAATTCGTCTGAATTCCAGGGAAGCAGAACTGGAGGTGAGAGAGGGAGTACTGGTTGATGTTTATATCACTTTTTCC